CTCTGGGAGGTAATCGGCAAGAGGCGGTCTCTCAGGTACCCAGGTCCGATGCCATGTAGGGCTTTATAGGTAGCGACCAGCACCTTAGGTGCTGCACAAGCCCCTTTGTTGAGGCCCATAGAGATGTAGTTGTGTTAGCAATTTGTTGCGGTGCCTCACTGCTTTTTAGGCTTTATTTTTGTGTTGCTAGATTGTTATTTGCTGACCCAGTGAATGCATTTAAGCTGGTTGGCTGTATACGTTTTCTAAATGAATGCATGAATGAATGAATGAATGAATGAATGAATGAATGAATGAATGAATGAATGAATGAATGAATGAATACATGCATAAAACGTTTGCCGTGATGGGACTATATAGATAGTCCTCGACTTACGACCACAATTGCGCCCAACATTTCTGTTGCTAAGCAAGACAGTGGTTAAGTGAGTTTTGCCCCGTCTTGCAACCTTGCTTGCCCCAGTTGCGAAGTGAATAACTAGAAATTGTTAAGTTTGTAACACGGTTGCTAAGTGAATCGGGCTTCCCCATTGACTTTGCTGGTCAGAAGGTCGCAAAAGGGGACCACCTGAGCTCAGGATACTGCAACCGTCATAAATATGAGTCAGTGGCCAAGAGTCCAAGTGTAAATCATGTGACCATGGCAGAGGTGGGTTCCTACCGGTTCGGCCCGGTTCGGCTGGGTAGGTAGTAACTCGGCTGCCCCCATGCAAACGAACTGTTTCCATTGTCGGTGGCGCCATCTTTATTTTTGCTTCTGCGCATGCGCAGAACAATCTCCGTTGCAGAAATGCAACCCCCCCACCCCTTTTCTTATGTTCTGCATATGCGCAGACCTTTTCGGGTGTAAATGCAGGAAACAAGCGTGTGTGCAAAAAAACTTGTGTGCCGTACCAGCAGTCATGCCGTTAGCAAACCCACCCCTGAACCACGGGGATGCTGGAACAGTCGTTAAGTGAGAAAAAACATTCATAAGTCAGTTTTATCAGTGCCATTGCAACTTTGGGCAGTCACTAATTGGTTGTTGTAAGACAAGAACTACCTGTAATTCATGGTGCTTGTTTCTGACATTTTTGCTTGTTTCTGGCCAAAATGACCATTCAAATAAAGGGTTTGTTTAAGGACCGCAGTGCTCGCTTAATGACAGCCATGAAAAAGGCCAGAAATCGGCTTACGGACGTATTGTCTTACGACACGATTTCCAGATCCAATTATGGTTGCTAGCCGAGGATTCCCCGTATTCCATGAACCTAGTGATCCATGCCTCCTATTCCAGCTTGCTCATTTACCTGCTGGAATTCCCGATTGCCTGTAGCAAGTAGGGGAATTGTTGCAACTCCGAGGTTATCCCATCGGTGAGAAGAAGGCCTCCCAGGCAGCCTTATCAGGGCCTCTGATCATCTGTGGGCGAGGAAGGTGTATCCATCCCTACCAGCGGGAGTGGCTGGGTATTTACATCGCTCATGGACAGGTAGTGACGCTACCCTGCCCTCCTTCTCTTTTGGCAGGAGAAGGCACGTCTCCAACGAGAACGTCAGAGGGTGGAGGAGCTCCAGAGACAGCATGCTGAGTCTCAGATCCACCTAAACAACCAGCCGGAATCGATGCGTGAACGGATGCAGAAGCAACTCCAGGAGGTAAGCGCGCGTCAGTTCAACTCGGCCTTCAGCCGGAGATAGTCCGTGCCCATAAATCACGAGGGAATTGTGCTCTCCTGATGCAGAAGGTGTTTAGCGCTTGTCTCCTTCGGAGCCACTGCTTTGACTTCCTAGCGTGGTCTCTGATCTTGGGATTTCGTGGATTCCAAGTGAGTTTCAAACCAGTCCGACTTGCCTTAGCTTGTCGAGATTGTTCAAAATCGACAAAGTGATCTATCCTTCCTAGGCTGAGCGCCGTGCTCAGTTTTTGGAATGTAAAGGTGTCTGATTTTGGTGGAAGGACTCCAGACGTGGTTGCGTGTCTCATCATCTGAGTGAAGATTGCACTGCCTGCTTGGATTTGACAGAGTTTGAATCAGAGGGACTCTGTTGTTGTTGTTTTTTAATGTATTGGAAGGTGCTCTTTGAGAAGATGAAATCCAGGGATGGTAAAATTGCTCTTCCATTTACGACTATAACCTTGTTGCTTGTATCTTTATGATTTATATTCTTTTATTTAGTTGCCTAGTATGATTTTGATGGTTTATTTCAGTGTTTCTCAACCTTGGCAACTTGAAGATGTCTGGACTTCAACTTCCAGAATTCGCTGGCTGGGGAATTCTGGGAGTTGGAGTCCAGACATCTTCAAGTAGCCAAGGTTGAGAAACACTGGTTTATTTAGTATCCTATGACTATCACTAAGTGTTGTATCATGATTCTGGGTGAATGTGGTTTTTTTTTTTTGCAATCTGTTTTTTTTTATTTTTAAACTTAAAAAAAAAACCAATATTTTAAAAAAATATAATCTCATCCATTACATACAGCATGTTGTTTGGTTACAAGTGTTTTTGCATCCATATTCTCAATTACATTTACAATGACAGATTTTTCATCTAATATAACTAAATACCTCACTTTCATTGTACAATGTATATTCAATTACAATTAATATTTTTTTCAATAAACCTAATCCCCTTACATTCGTGATTGTCCATTTAATAACAATATACCTTTAATATAATCACAGATCCCAATATGAAAGAGATTTACCAACCATTTATATTAGATGAAAAATCTGNAAAAAAAATAAAACAATCACGCACTCCATCCCTTTTGCATTCAATAAGCAAATCAAACTGTATTTTGGACAGACAAATCCTTACCAGTTCAGATTTGCACTGCCACATATATTCTTTTTCTCAGCAAAGCTCAATGAGAACAAATAATCTGCCATGGTAATTATGACTCTGGACTCAATGGTGATTTAGAATCAAAGGGGAAAGTGCCCTCGCGGATTCTTCTTCTCCCAAAATTGGTTCTAAATATGCCAAATTCTCAGAGGACTAGTTGGGGATTTAAGGAAATGACCCGAAAGTTAAATTTCTTTGCTTGTATTCACACACTTTGTTTTGCTAATGACACGGTTGCAGAACTACGGGCAAAAAAAATGCATATATTCTCTCTCTGTTCCGCTCACATGAAGGCTGAATTGATATCTTTCATCTAAGTTATCAGTGAAGACAAAGTTGATGCCCCAGAGTTACTATAAACTCTAACGCTCTGGACAAACAAGTCCATTTGTTTATCCCTTTCCTTACAAAGGAACTGTGTTTTTATTAAAGAGATCAATCACCAGCATACAGTTTAACAGCTTGAGCTATTCATGTATGGCTGGGGAAAAAGAGAGAGAGAGAGAGAAAGAGAGAGAGAGAGAGGGAGAGGTCGGTTTTAAAACTACATAACTCACAAAGCATTGAAATGGCTATAAAATCACTTCTTCCTTTCCAAATAATGTATTTTTAATTGTATAATTCCTTATACAATGAAAAGCCTCCTTCCAAGTATCCAGAGAACCCCAGATCAAGAAAGTAGCCCTCCAAAGACTTCATTTATACGTTGCAATTATTAGAACTGAGCTCCTAAAATGTATATATTTTTAATTGTACTAATAACAAAGCTTGTTACTTATATAGCATTATTCCTTTATACTCCAAGGTTCCTCACTATGTTTCAGGGGCAAATCCCAAGGCCAATCAGATTTGTTTTATAAATGGTTTTCCTTCCACATATAACAAAAAAATATATATCTTTACATCAAGAAGGTACACAGTTGAGGTTAATGAAACTTACTTATATTAGTTCTTCAAATTCTTTCCCTTAACTCCCAGCCCAAGTTATTATTTTTATGTTTGTCCCTAAAACAAACCAGAAATATGATGTTATCTTGTTTGGGTAATGAAAGCTCTGTAAGAAAACAGCCAAGCACAGCGAGCACTAAGGATCCGTCATTTCAACCCCGAGTTACAAATATTCTCCTTTATCAAAACCAGAAACAATACATTGGAACTGACCCCGGTAGTAATAGCTTGGCTCAAGCTTTTTTAAAAAAAATTTAGGGAGCTGGTATCACCATAAATTCCAGCAGGAGTGAATCACAGAGATTTGCTGTACTGGCAAGATTTACATAACCAAGAATAACATTAGAAAAATCCACATTAAAGAAAATGATTCTGTGGAAATTTACGTTGACAGCTATGCATTACAGGAGAAGCTGAACGCAAAAGCTCTATATATTAAGGAAGACTGCAAAGAGAAGCAGACAGAATTTTTTTTTTTAAGGCATCTTTTATAAAGGAATTCGAAAAGAAACACAACACGGGCTACTTGGACAATGTAACAGAAGGGATTTATGCTGATTTGCGTGCCTTAAGCCTGCTCCCAGTTGTAGTCCATTTTTCTTTCTAGGGAAAAGGTTTCGAGATGAATACTGACAATGAACCAAAATAGGTAGATCAGCTCCATTAGAATGAGATCATTACAGTTGTTTTGGATGAGATAGATTCGCTTGCATGCATATCATGATCAGTTTCCTGGATTGCCCTGGGCAATGGCATATGGTCCATGAAGAACTGTCATTCCTTTGCAAAGACCTTCCATATCTCACTGAGTTCCAGATGGCTTGTATTGTGGGGGTCATGGTGCTTTGGTTTCATCTAAGTTCCTTCTCAGCGGAAAGAGCATTAAGTTGATCAACAAGTTCCTTGTGTGTGTTGAAAATGATGCAGGACCCAAAAAAAAAAATAATAATAATA